TCTATTACGTGGAAACACAGATGGCCTTTCCACGTACCGTTCTGTACGATCGATCATTGAAAATAGGTCTTCTGGAACGCTGGCTGTCAAATGGTGTCGTTAAATTTCCAAACTGCGGACTTGCCGATGCAGCTGAATCAGGGAAAATTCGAGTACAACGGTTCCTCTGGTTACCTACTGAAGCCGGATTTCATGAGACGAGCCGATCGAAGTTTCGATCCTTTCGCAGAGAGCCCCGTGGACGGTGTAATAGCTACTCAATGCAGCGTCCAGGTATTTCGGAATCCTTTTCACGTTGTAACTTGCAAACGATAGCGGTGATGATTTGCTCTTGGGTTTGCAGGTAATCGCGGGCCAATTTTTATCCGATAAGAAAGTCGGAACGTACGTGGAAGTAGAAATGTACGGTTTACCGACAGACACAATTCGTAAAGAATTTCGGACAAGAGTAGTTCCAGCGAACGGCCTGAATCCCGTGTATAACGAAGAACCTTTCCTCTTTCGAAAAGTCGTCCTACCCGATTTGGCAGCCTTGCGTTTCGCGGTTTACGACGAGTCAAACGGCAAATTACTAGGTCAGAGAATTGTCCCTTTAGATGGTCTACAGTCGGGATATCGGCATATATCTCTGCGAACTGAAGCGAACTTCCCCATGTCCTTACCTATGCTCTTTTGTAACATCGAGATCAAGATATACGTACCAGATGGATACGAAGGTAAGCTTCGACTTTACTCTCGCTTTTGGTAGGTGCTTTCATTCGAACTTAATTTACAGGACTTATGGATGCGCTTACGGCACCACGGGCCTATAAAAAATCTGAAAATACGTCGCAGAATAAAATGCGTGGGCTTGGGATAGAGGAAAGCGACAATAAAGGGCACTCTGATTCCATGCCTACGCATCATCGCGAAGCACCTAAACCACGTGGTAAATACCTTGATATTATCTTCGACCGATCGACGATTGAGTGCATGTATTTGCGAACTTTATTGTTCTTTCAGAGGAAATGAAATTCAACCCCATAACGGCAGACGTGTTGCGACAAGAAAAGGGATATCAAAAGGTGCTTCGAAAGCAACAAAAGGAATTGGAATCGTTAAAGAAAAGGCACCAAAAAGAGAAACTCACCGTCCACAAACAACATTGCGCCGCGATAGACAAGATCATTAAAGGGAAAAAGTATGTAACTATTTCTAGTGCCACGTTTGAACTAGAAACGTTTAAATTTCATTTTTCATTTTGTTTTTTTTTTTTTTTTTTTGTTTTGTTTTAATAGCAAAGCGGAACTTTCGAGAGATCCCGCCGTTCGCCGCGAGGTTTCCGAACAGACTGTTCAATGGTCTCGATTGGCCGATAGACAACGACGCGAGGAACGTGACCTGATACGTTCTCATCTGGAGGAACGACGGAATACCTTGCGAAAATTGTGCGTGGCTGCTCAACTAGCCCAACAGAAGCAATTAACCGCACGACACGAACGTGAGATCAAAGAAATGAACGCGAGACAAGCGAGACTCTCGGTAGAAAGTATGAGGGAAGTGATGAACGATAAAACGTTGAAGACTCGCGGGATCAAGGAGGGTCGGCTTAGAGAGAAACAGCAGAACAATACAAAAAAATTTATGGAGGAGAGGAAAATCGCACAAATGATTCAAAATAGAGAGAAGGAGAAACTGAAAGTGATTCACGAAAAACAACTGGAGGAATTGCAAAAAGACATGAATGCGGTAAAAGAAATGTCTTTTGCGTTATATTATGAGTCGTTTATTTTGAATATGGCACGAGTCATTTTATAGCAATAAAAAAATGGCAATTTTTTTAATGTTTGTGCGTTATTATTATTTATACTGAGGACAATATAGGTATCCGAGATAACAAATATAAGTAAACATCAGAGTTTCTAGGCCCGTTAAATATCTCGATTTAAAAATAATGTGACTTATGCCACTTTCAAACTAAAGGGAAGCTTAAATAAGGGAACGCTGTGATAGGAAATGTATTCGATTCGATATTTCGAATAATCTGTTTCAGGTTATGGATATGTACAACAACGAGGAAATGGAATACGAGTTGGGCCCTAAAACCGAATGTTACGTGTGATGGGCGACAGATTGACTTGTAAAGCTTGCAAAAAACTAAGATGCTGCTGCATTCAGAGAATCCGCTTCTATCGTTAATTACAACTGGAATTGGGATCAAGCCTCGTTAGCTATCGTTCTCTGTTATCATGGGAACCGGAAGCAACAGACAAACCGCGTTAATCGTATTCTAGTTCATTCTTCTGAATATTTTTTTATAAAAAAAGAGCATCTTGTAACTTCATACTTTCCGTCGTCACACGAGCAAGTACCTAGACTAAATAAGGGAGTCAATAAAAACTAAAGTGATCTAGTCAAGTTCTTATATTAATAAGTATATATATATTATATTATAATAATATATATTATATATATTTATTATACATATATAGGATACATTAAATGAAAAACGGATCATACGGATCGAGCGTACCGTGTGATTCGCCGATTTCAATATTTTTTGATTGTTAACGCTATTACCGAATTCTATCGTATCGGGTGCGTGAGAAAAAAAAAGAAAGAGAGACTGTACGAGCGCGTGTATTTCATGCCTAATGCCAAAAGGAATTTATCGCCTGCGTGACGATTCCTTCGCTATATTTTACTTTAAACAATGCTTTTACGGTCGGATATAGTTAATAGATGATACGCTGGCCGCGAGTAGAATATTAGCGCCCCTCCCACCCCCAACTGTCGAACGATCTTCAGTCACGATCGAGCAGGTACTCGTTTTCGCGATACGTTCTTTTTCCTCCCCAAGCAGTGCCCTCGTATGTATGGTCCAAAATCGTAACGCCGTGAGCCAAAATATAGTATTGTACATAAAGGGAAAGAAAATCGAACAAAAAGAGAGCCTAGCATGATAATTATCGCGTCGTTGTTTTCTTTCTAATAATGTTATTTACACACAGATTATTATATTAACCTATATTATT